ATTATTTTAATTATTATTTTAAAATATAGAAAATTTTTTTAATTTGTGTGATAAAAATATTATAAATATATTTATATTATATAATTTAATATATTATATTATATAGTATATTATATACTATAAATTAATTCATAATCTATTTTAGTATCGAAATTAATAAAAATAGTTAATAAAAAAAAATTTTAATTTTTGTTCATAATATATGCCATCATAATCATAGTCAAAAGTGATACTATTGTTATGTATTTAAGAAAATATTTATGAAGTGTAATTGTTACTTTAGAAATTCAATAATTTAAAATTAAATATTTATGAATATTTCTATTCTATGAATACAATGGTAGAAAAACTATTTAGTATAGTATAATAGAGAAAAAAATTTATTTTTTATTTATTTTGTTTAAAATTAAATGTTTATGTTAGAATGAATATGTGTTCATAAAAATTGTGTACTATATAATGTGATTGTGCTGTGTATAAACTTCATTACTTATAATTACAAGTAAGTTGTATTGTGCTTATAATTTAAAATTATTAACATGTAAGTATTATATATTTCGTATTATATATATGTATTACTTTTATATTAGTACGGAAATAATTTTTATTTTTATTTTTTCTTTAATATCAGATTGTATATATTTGAAATTATAAATTTTCGTAGATAATGGCCACGTCAGATAGTCTTAAAAATCATGTTAAAGTAGCTGAAGAAAATATTGTTGTATGTATTCGTACTTTTAATAAATTTAAATAATAAATTTATTAATAGATATTAATATTATATCCATTTTTTGTTGATTAATTTTTTGCATTAAATTTTGTGTTATAAAAATTGATTTTTTTTGTATTATTTTTAATTTACAAATAATTTAATAATAATTTAACAAATTTTGCTTTTATTTTGCATTAACAATTTATTATTTTTCACTGATAATTTAATTATTATATGCAGTATGATGATGGTATAAAAGAATATCTTGAGCCTAGATTTGAATGTCCTATTTGTTTAACTTGGCTACGTGATCCAGTTTTAACATCTTGTGGTCATAAGTTTTGTTCGCAATGTATATATACTTGGCTTCAGTAAGTTATATTTTATGGTATTAATTTAAAAAATGTATGTATAAATATATATATTATATATTATTATCATTATATACATATTATATATATATTAAATTTATATATATTAAAAATTATATACATATATATATATAAATTTAATTTTTATTTTAGAAAAGAAGGTGCTTGTTGTCCAGTTGATAGCAAACCTTTAAAATCTGAAAGTGATTTATTTAGAGATTTGTATACAAGCAGAGAGATATCACAACAACGTACACCTTGTCCTTATCAACAATTTGGTTGTGAGATTAAAGTATCCCCAGTAGATATGGAAACACATATAAATGAATGTACATATAAAAGAACTCTTCCAGATTCACAAAATGTATATTGTCCCTTTAAGAATGTTGGTTGTATGGAAACTTTTCCCATTGAAGAAGATTTGCATGAACATTTAGAAAAAAATATAAATATTCATTTAACTGTTAGTTTATTTTTATTACACAAAATCATGTTTAATGATAACATAATAATTTAATTTTTATTTATTTCATAGATGATTCTGAAAATATTACCACAAGTATCTGTTTCACAAAATAATATTAATGCAATAGCTGCAGAATCTAAATTATGGGATCCTCCTCCAAAAAATACATCTTGTATGGAAAAAAGTGAACCATCGTTAGAATGGCAACAATTATTAAAGTATATTTTATTATTTCAATACATAAAAAATTTATATAAAACTTATTAAATATTTTATTATACTGACATAAAGTTTTTTTTAGAAATCTTTATGAAAGAATAGTAGTATTGGAACAACAAAACAGAGAATTATCTATAACAGTTTCTAATCAAAAAACTCAACTTACAACTTTACAAACTTCTTTAAGATTTAATCAGGAAGAAATGTTTTTACGTAGTTGTAATGGTGTTTATATTTGGAGATTACATTCTTTTCATGAAAAACTTGAAAGTATGATGAATGATTCATTAAAAATGTTTTATAGTCCTGGTTTTTATACAAGTCCTAATGGCTACAAAATTTGTGCTAGAATTAATGTATCTTCTAAAGATCCTGAATTTCTATCATTACTTTTACATATAATGAAATCAGAAAATGATGATGGTCTTGATTGGCCATTTAATGGGACAATGTATTTTGTTTTGGTTCATCCTCTTAATAGTGAAAGAGATATACGCGAAATAACATCATCAAGACCTGATCTTGAAGCTTTTAGAAAACCAATATGTGAATTGAATAAGCGTAGTTTTGGTTATACAGAATTCGTGCGAATACGAGATTTACTTGATTTCTTACAAAATGATTGTTTAACTTTTAGGATAGAAGTTTGTGTTTATGATAAGTTTAGAGCATCAAACATCATAAGTTTAGAGGACATATTTTGAAAATTAATTAATTAACAAATTAAAATTATGTTTAACAAATTTCTATGATCTGATCATGCAGTTTTTATATTGATCAATTGTTTTTACGAATTTAAATTCTTTTATTATTAAAAATATCTAGATTTTCTGTTCTGCACTTTATAGGGTTTGTATTCTGGACTTATTGAACACGTATTTTGGAGTTTGGATTTTAAACTTTAAATTTTAATTGGTATCTTATAATTTAACTAGATAGGATTTTTGTTAATAATATATGAAACTAAGACTATGATATATGAAAATCTAAAAAATTCATCAGTTTCCAATTGATTGAAAAATTTCATATATAAAATACATAGTAGTAAATATATACTATTTATAGGATGCATGCTTTTTTTATTTACATTTTTCTTTATTAATTCTTAATACGGTATAAATTCCTATTTCTATATAATTTATCTTTTACAAATATCTATTGCATATCCAATGTAAGATATTTTTCATAGCTATAAGATTTTACGAATGATATACAAACGCTCGTATAATTGTAAATATTATCAATTTATCAAATTTTAAAATTTGATATTAATTACAGTATTTGCTCATGTGATCGAGCTTTAAATATGTATAAATTAAATATATATGTATAATAAGTATATAAGTTATTATATAAGTTATTATATAAGTTATTACAATCCGTCCTAATAAAATATTTCTTTTTTTTAATATGTTTGTACATA